ACAGGAGTTGGACTCTGTGATCCTTATGGGTTCCTTCTACATTCTATGATTCTATGAAATTTTTTATATTTTATGATGTGTTTACATTATTGTAATATTCTACATTCTTTGGAACTATAACTATTATTTTGGAACATCACTTCATGTTGATATATAGTTATCACAGAACACTACACATATCTAAAGATTTCTATTTTATTAAATTGAAAAATAGATTATGCTTTTTCTAAAATACATAGGTAGTAAACAGTGAGTTAACAAGAAAATTGACTTTTTTTTTCTTAGGTCCTCAAAAGCTATCTGTAATACTAAGCTTGGATAAGCCTGTTATTTGCTCTCTGGCAGCAGTAATTGCATACCTCAAAGAATTTAATTTGGAAAGGATGCTTTACAATCCAGGGTAAGTTGCCTTATATAAACCTCTGATTCAAAGCAACAATACATGTAGCAGTGTTACCTTGTAAGTTTTAGCAGACAGCATCCCTTCAATGCAATGAACACACCTGCTAGAGTGATAAACGTATTCTTTGTAAAAATTGTACCTTACATTCAAGCTCATAATCAGAACTGAAAGAATCAAGTTACTTCTTTTTTTAAATGGTGTTCCGTGAAAATCTTTTTGAAGCATGTTGTCTAGACTTTACTGTCAGTAATATACTGAATATATATTGCTGCCAAGTGTTGCTGAAAACAAACAAGGTGCAAAAACTAGTAGAAAACAGGGGGAAAACTTTAAAGTTTGTTAATCAATATCAGCCATCATATCTTAACCTCAGTTTTACTTCGTGAACAACATCTGAGGCATGTTTGGCAACTTTAAAAAAAATATTAATGCTGTAATTTGACTTTGCAGACGATAATTTATTTTGTCAGAGGTGTGTAAATAATTTTCTCTTTGTATAGCTCTGGAAGCGGGTGTAAATGCTGATGTGTTGTACTATGTAGACAGTACTCAGCAAGTCTGTTTGAGTTGGTGAATCTAGTTATCAGTTATAAAGAAAACAGACATTCAACACATCCTGGCTTTCTGAGAAATCCCTGGGGTTGGCTCAGTGGTATCAGGAGTGAGGGAACATTCATGCAAAAAGCTGTTGATAGGCCATCACCATTTGTGCAAAGTTACTGCAAAAACACACAGATGTGGAAATAATCTTGTCTTCCCTTAAGTAGTCCCAACACTTAGGTTTATTAGATATGCTCAGGTGAGTACTCAAAATTAGTAACAGGATTATGCAGGTGGAATCAAATGAAAATGGAAAGATATTGCCACTCAAGCATCTTTTTATCCTGTCTTGTGCAAGTATAAAAGGTTGCTGGCCTTCCTGGCTTAGCTTTGAAAGTATCGTTGAGGCTTATTAAATGCTTTAATAAAACAGCTTTATCTGTCATGGATCCTGTGCAAAATATTATTTTGGTTGTCTCAGTACTCCTCTGTCCTGTCAGTAGGCAGAATTTAACACAGTAAGTCTGGCTGCAAACTGGAAACTTAGAAATTAGTCATGTCAGTTGTAGATCATTCACATGTATGAGATTCTTCAAGTTTCAAGCCTTATTTTGAAGGGCTTCCTACATTACCAGGTTTTTTTTAAATGCAGCTGCATTTTAAAAAAAAAGACTGCTGATATCAGCTTTAAATATTTATCAGGTATCTACTAAAATCTTTGGGGAAAAAAAAATATATATCTGGATTTCCTGGAGTTTGGATTGGATTTTCTTCCTTAAGTTGCCCTTTCCCACTTCAAATACTATTAAAATGTTAACAAAAAGAATTCCTCTGCATCATCCATCGAGGAACACTCTGATCTGTAGTTTTCCAGCACCATGCCGTTCCCGCTCATCCTCTTTGGTTGGCTTTTGGAGGAATCTTGTTGTGAGAGTTTCTGAAGAAGGTGAACTCCAAGGAAATGCCATTCCATGGTTACACTTGTAGATCACTGTTGTCACACTGCCTTAAGTGCAGTCACACCTAAGATGAATGTTCTTTCAGATGATAGAAAAAAATCCATCTTTAATGTAGAAGTAATTCAGTAGCAGAGGAGAAGCATTATGTGAAGGTTTATCTAGCAGGAGTCGGTCACATTTGTAATAGCTGCATCTTAAGTATAGTTACAGACTGGGAAAGAAAAGCAATTTTAGAGTTGACATTTGCCTGCTGAAAGTTGCTCTAATGGACTTAATGTGAATGTATGAGCATCTGAGTGGAAAGACAATGGACTATTTTATATCTTGATGGTGTTCTATGAAGAAATAGAATAAATTATTTGAGATAACTTTGTTCGTGTGCTCACGAGCTTGGATTCTACTGTATTTATTTCTAAAGCCTTTACTGCTTTGACTACCCAATACTGAATTCTCCCTGCTGTTTTTAATATGTCACATATATTGAAACAGTGAGCCAAATATTGAGGCAAATCAGCTTCAGTATTTTTCCTAATGCCAGCAAAATACTATCTAAATACTGGAAACATTAAGCCTTTTAAGCAAAGGGTGTCAGGCTCATGGATCTTCTGTGATTCTGCAGGAAACAGAAGATAAATACTTCTATTGCACTGTCAAGCAACTTAAAATTCCTGGGATAATTCAGGTCAGTGAGCATATACTGATGAGTCAGTGAGCATGAAGTCAGAGCTGTAAGATAGGTTTCAGTTTATTAATGCAAGTGACACAGATCTGGATGAAAAAGACCTATTTGATATAAAGAATGACAAAAAAATTCCTTACACCTTTGTACCTTGTTTGGATAAACACTCTTCTCCCTTCTTAACAAAATTCCAGTTCATTTTAATAGTAAGAATCATGGATCACATAAGTGATGAAGGGTCCTCATTACCATGGGGATAGTAAACAACTATAAACAAAACAAATAGTTTTGTTTTAATATTTAGCTGAAGCTTTTAAATCCACTTTTAATATCCTAAATAAAGCATAATATTAAAAAGGAAAAAATACTTCTGCCACCGCAGAACCCTGGAATATAATTGGCTAGACTGCATTAGAGCTCTAGTAGCTAGTAAAAATAGATTTAACAATTAATGAAATAAGCTCTTTTTAATCAATGTGTTGTAATACCTTTACATACTGGGAGACCTTTATTGGCATTTGACAAGAAGCTGGTGCACATCTAGGAGAGGTTTTCAAATACAGTGGAGTACTCAGTTTTGGCTGAAAAATCATCATCAGCATAGCAGTTGCTGGGAAATGTGTCTTGGTGTATTTTAATATTACTAACATGTTTTTCAGAATATTGGAGGTGGAAGAGAGAGACTGTGGTTCTTAATTTTGAATTGTGATAGGTGAACTTCAGGAAATGCAGGGAATGGAAGAGCCGGGTATCTTTCTGAAGGAGGAGAGTAGCTTTGGGATTGGAGAACTACCAGCAGTGAAGATAGAAAACAGGCAGAAGTGAAAGAGAAGAGAGGAGGGTTAAAATGGTTTTGAGGGAGGAGAGGGAAGAGAAAAAGAATTCTAGAAAAGGACAAATGTTTGATTGTACTTTATAATAGGGGTGGAAGGAAGTTGGCAAGATGAAATTAAGATTGAAGTAAAAATGTAAATTCTTCAGCTTAAAATGGTGGACATCCTTGAATTTTCAGGGGAAATGTCATAGAAATTAAGGGGATAGTATTCGTAAGGCTTTTGTATCTCTTGGGTGCTGATAATGTCAGCAGCATCATGTGTACTAGACACTGCATAGGTTTATTTACCCATTTGCACTATGAGAAAGGGAATACTTAAATTATTTTGAGAGGTTTCAAAGTCAGCTCAGGAGCATGAGGGACTGGAATAGGAAAGGCATGGTCTTCAGACACTGAGAAGAGGTGCTTAGCAAAGGATTTGCCATCTCTTTTGAGAGCACAGAAGAAGGGCAGCAGATGGGACCTCTTGCACTCTGGACATTTGGAGCTTGTAGGAACGCTGAGGCTGTGTGCAAAGAAGCAGACTGAGAAGGTGCAGAACAAGGTTGCAGGCCCACTCCTTGGGGTGAGTTCAGTGGAGAAAAAGGAGAGTAATGCAGGATAAAAATGATGGAGGTTATTTTTGTTTCTCTTCATCCTTTCCAGGTCCTCTCATTTCTTTTCTTGTTCTTTATTTTGCATTTCTCAGTTTTGTTTTGTATGTGTTTGTTTTATTTTGTTACTGGTTTAGCTGGAAGTTTCTGTCACATCAGGGATCCAGATCAGAAGTTCTAGCTCTGTGACAGTATTTGCTAATGAATCTAAAACTGGTTAATTAAATACAAAACATAGTCTGGGCTTTATGTCCTTTCCTACTTAAACTGTGATAAATATTTTTCATGCCTAAAGAAAGCTGATACTTCTGAGAAATTGAGAGACTTGGTTTTACTCCTTTAAGCTGAATAGGGATTCCTGCAACTCTTGCCTAAATATATAGGTTTGTTCTGTGGTTTATTCACCCTTAGAAATTTCGAAGACATGGACTCTAGAGGTCTGTAAAAGGTAATTGAGTAAAGAAAATCTGCTCCTTAGTAGGCTTTCAATACAGTGCCTTGCAGCTTCACTGAAAAGTTTGTACAGATTTGCAAAATTAAAGTAGTTGAAAACTACTGATCTGAATAACGTGCATTCATTTAATCTGTGTTACTGAGTATGAAATTATATATAGTATCTCCTGTCGAGAGGATAATGAATAAAGTGTAAAAAGTGCCCTTCACTGCAAGCTTCTCAGGAGTCAGAATGACCAAGAAGATCCAATTTCACAGGTAAAACATAAGACTCAAAGTCTGAGGATGTAGTTTACTGTCCTAAAGCAATCCTAGTAACCCTTTAATGCTCATCACAAGTGTAGCTCTATTCTGAAAAGTCATTTTATGAGGAGGAACCTCTTTCTCATGAGTAGTCTCCAAGAGTTTTCCTAAATCTTACTAGAAGCCTGTGTTTCTTTTTGTTTTGTCTCTTAATTTTTCTTAGCCCAGATGGCATGATCCTACCTCGCCTTGCCCCTCAATAGTGGAATTGCCAGCTATTTCTATCACTTGTGTTTTGTGCTGTTTAAGTATTGAGACAGTTGCAAGTCTGTCCTTTGAAAGACAGGTCACACTGTCGCCTACAGAAGGATTTATTACGTTATGATCCAGTTGAAGTGATTTTGAAGGGTCATTTTTACTGATGCAGGAGACAGGTGATAGCAGCACATTAGAATGTCTCACAAGGAATGTGTTGACAGGCTTGCTGCAAAACCAGAACCAGCACTGACTTAATATTTGTTTGCAACCTTCTTCTTATGCCATTTGGTCCCTAAATTCCCTACAAAGAGTCTGTCTTTGTTCACATTTTTATTGTGTTCTGATCCCAAGCTGAAGGAAGATGAGGGGGTGGAAGCAAAACATGTTCTGTGATGTGACATCTGGAATTGTTGGGCATATACTGCAGTTGATCTTGGCTATTATTCATACACTACAAGCTCTCAATTACCAGGGTTAATAGCAGAGTGGAGTAACTCAGATAAAGCAAACACCTGGATAATATAAACCACACATAAATTACTCTGTGAGAACAACTTTTGCATGTCTGATTCTGAAAAAAAATAGTAAATGTACTCTGCACTGGAGCAGAATTAGTTGTCTTTAAATACTACTGGAGAGCAAGGTTGCTGTGGACAGAATACACTCTAAGTAATGTGCTCTGAAGCCAGGTGAAGTGGGAAAACACTAGAACCAGTAAATCCACAATCTTGAAACTCACTTATGGGTGATTGAGGGTTACTAGAAAGAGCCAAAAGCATCCTTTTCACTTTCGGGAAGAGGTGGAAAGGCATGGTTCTTACCCAGCTGGGTTTAAGAGATCACAGGCTTGAATAGTGGTGAATCGAAATGCAGCAAATGGGGAAGCTGCAGTTTAGGTATGTCCTACATGCAGAGGAGGTGCTTTTGGAAGAGTGGGTTGGATTTGTTGTTGATCATAAGGACTGGGAGCCAAGCAGAAATTATTCCTATTTAATTTTTGCCAGCATCAGCAATTGTGACTGAAGATAATAAAAGGAGGTATTGTTGTTTATAATACTGTGTGCTTTGGAAAGTGCTGCTGCTTTTGCCTCCAAGGTTTTGTTTTGCTGGTCAACTTTGATTGCTGGGATAGCAGACTAGAGCAGAGTAATTATGACTATGGGTACAACTCTGAGTCAGCTGTACTTCCAAACTATCTTGAACTTCTTGAGGGCACTCAGTTGAATTGGGAAGGATGGAGGGAGGAGGAGGGTTTTGTTTTGTTTTGTTTTTTTAAATTATGTGGAAAATGCTTATAATTTGGCCTATTATTTAGAAACAAATTTGCTAGCAGGCCCAAACACCTGCAGACAACATAAATATATAACATCAGTTTATGAATATTCGTTTCTGAAAGTTTTAGTGCTATTTTTGTTTTTAATATAGAAGTAATGCAGCTGTGTGTGCCTATCCGAAAAGTTTGAGCATTTGCATCCTCCCCCAGAGAGTTTAAAATTGAATGCACTGAAAAAAAAATTGTGAAAAGTCAAGAAAGCGGTTTTAAATTCTACTCAGCAAGTCATTCTATTTAGTCTAAGACAATAGTGTCCTAGATTTTGTGCAAAAGGCAGTCAGCAGTATGATTAACCTAGACAATCACGACTTGATTTGTCAGAAGCATTTAGTGAGGATCTTCCACTTTGCTTCATGGTCCCAACTACTACATGTATATATCTGAGACTGAAATAATTTTCATATCTAATATGATTACAGATCTAATACACTTACTGTATTAACATTGATTCTAAACTAACACAACCTTTGGGTGGTCTCATCCTGTTCTCTTAGGGAGTATCGTAAAGTAATTTTGGTCATCGTTATTTCATATTAAAAATAAAATCCAATAGTTTTAAATACCCTATTTTTGCTTTCCTAAATGATTGCACTAACAGCCTGTTTAAATCTGTAGTAATAGTAAAAAATAAGAATATGTATTTTGATGTGCTGTTTTGATTATTAGTTGTGTTAAAAGTCTGTTCCACTCAAAGTATTAATTCTTACTCCTATCCTTGCACCTAATACTACAGTGATCTTAACAGGACACTAACAGAAGTACATGCTTTTCCAGTTTCATCGTAGACTGAAGAAGAGGTGCTTCCTTAACCATTTAGTGGGTCAGGATTAAGTAACAGGAGAGCTGCATTTTATTCTAAGCTTTGTCAGAGTCATTGTAGGAAACTGGGAAGTGAGTCATAAATTTTGTTTTCCCAAGCAGTAAATTAAAAGAAGTTATTAGTGTTCAGTTCTTTTATTTTTTTTTTAATAGATTTTAATTTCTTACTTGATTTTTTTATGTTGCATAACTAATGAATTCTCTAATGTGAGAGACTTGACAGTGTTTCACTGTTACATCTATTCCTGAATTTAAAATATAATGTATGAAATTCCTCTCCCCAGCAATTTCAAACGGTTGTCAAGTGAAACTGAATACATGACAATTAATGGGACAACAATGAAAAATCTCGAAATATTACAGAATCAGGTAAGGACAAATGTAGTGGGTTTTTTTAAGAAATGCTGAGATTTTCACAGCTGTTTGACACACTCTTCCCAATGAAGCTAGTTAAGTTAGTTCACAAATCTCACCCAGAAGGGTTAAATTATTTTAAGTGAGAACAAACGGAAGGAAGTTTACATTTTCAGAGGCATAAATGAAAGTTAATACGTGGTGGCTTTTAGTGTAAGTTAGGAACCTTACTACACTTTGACGAGCAAAGAACTTTACAAAAGTGTGAGTTCTTGAGCAATGGCAGTCAAGCGATAAAACGGCAGTAGGGTTTTGTTTCTTCTTTTCTGCTACTGCACAGACCTTTATGCACGGCTTTAATTTAACTTGTTTAATTTATTGCAGTCATTTTCTAACCAGATTTTCTGGCTAAGGGAAAAACATAGTTAAGTATCTTACGACTGTTGGAGGCACTTTTATGTAAGGCATTGTTAGTGAACAAGATCAGTAAACGAACATGCAGTTGCCATATCTTGAGGCCTAAACAGAATGTTTAAGTAGTGTGGTGAATATCCTTTCACTACATTGTTGATTATTCAGTTAAAAATAATTATTCTATTGTTGTTATTTTAGACTGATATGAAAACAAAAGGAAGCCTGCTCTGGGTCTTGGATCATACTAAAACTTCCTTTGGACGTCGGAGATTGAAGAAATGGGTAACCCAGCCCCTCATGAAATCCAGGTGAGATAGGTCTTTATCTTGGGCTAAATTTGTATTTTAAAATTATGATGTTGAGTATGCCCAATGTATTTATTTTTCCTGAAGACCTGAGATCCATAGTAGAGTTTACACGGGAAATTATATGATGGAGATGTGAGTATTGTACATAGGTTTGAAGGAGTTAAACTGCTCTGTTTGGGCACAGAACATCTAAGTAGTTTAGAATAGTAGGTTTGGAGCAAGTTAGAAATTCCTGTGCAGAAATCAGATTGAGTACCACTCTAATTCCATATCCTTTTTCAGATGGGTGAGGATTAACTGCTATTGGAGGATGTTTTACTCATAAACTTGCCAATTGATGTTTGATGTCTTTTTTGCTTCACAAGTATTTGCATTCTTAACATATTTAATTAGTTCTGAAGTAGCTGTGGATATTTCTGTTATCCCTGTGTACAATGCATTGCATATGAAAGTATTTTTTTTATTAGTTACGAAATCTGATGATTGTTTGGGCACTCTTATATTTTGAGCTATGCTTTATTTACTAATGCTTTAGAAATGCTTTATTTTGTAATACTGTCATTGTTGTTACTCATCTGTGTCTTGAAATGTACTCCATCTTTTCAGATTTCTCTTTGCAGGCTTTACTGGCGTGTTGTACTTGAATATGTAATAAATAACAGTATTGAGTCCATGGAATGGTTGTTGCTGACATTTTAAGGTTTTTTTTTTATCTGTGCCTTTGAATGTGCATTTCCTGAGCATTGACACTTTTTTTCACTTCAGCTGCAGCATACAGAAAATTCTTTTCGTTTAGTTATCTAAAATATTTTTTCCCTCTGTTTTTCTTTTGTAAAGATATTAAACAGTTTTATTAATTTTTAACAATTAGAGGTATACCAATGTTTTAGCATCTTGATGTTGTTGGTAATTTACAAATGTTTCTACGGAAGCATTTTTTTTACCTTGACCAATTTTTAATATGTTAAAGCATTATACTTCTGAAGCGTTTCTGCTTAATTTTCTTATTAGCCTCTGTGTAATGATCTTTTTTCAGTAGTATAAGAAAAGTACATAACTATTTTTTTCCTTCCTATTTTGTTAATTTAGAATATTAGAGAGCTTTTTCATTTGTAGGAGCTGTACTGGTAAGACTGTTTCATTCTACACTTTCTGGCAGGAACTTAATAAGTTGATTTCACTATACCTTTTTTTTTTTTTTTTTTTTTTTTTTAAATTCTTTTGATAATAGCTTTTGTATGTCTTACCTCCTTCAAAAAGGCTTTTGCTGTAACCATCCTAAATAGTATTAGACTTTATGGAAGTTGATTATATGTCTGGTGTTCACCTTAAAAGCATATAGATAGAATTTCTGGGTCACTTTAGAGGAATAAATTGAAATAAATTAGTTTATTTCTCTTCCTGCCCTTGAGGCACCTTACGACCTTTTGGGAATTGTTTGTGAAGTTGTCAGCGGGGGGAGCCAGAGCCCAGGCTCTGCTGGTGTGGTGGCAGCACCGAGGGTGGGGACCTGGGATGGAGCGCCTCTTAACATTTTGCTCCCAAATCATCACATACGCGATGCAGCAGGTGAAATAACAACAGTAAAATAAACACAGAGCTCTCATCCAGACCCAGAGGATAGAAAACTGCGTGCCTGGGGACTTCGGACCTTCTTTCTTAACCAATCAATTTAGTTTAAATTCTCCCTCATCTCAGTGCAGAGCCGGCTTTAGAAGTTTGCAGTTTTGGTTTCTTCTCTTTCTCCTCTGCTTTTTGCTACTTCTAGAGATTGATACTTCCCTTTTTCAGCCTTCTTTCTCAGTATGGAAGGAAGTTCTATGGTTCGAGCTGACAATACTCCTCTGTTGAAGCTAAAAAAGCTATTTTGTGTCTGTGTATTTCTCCCTTTCCGACTCTTAAGTTGTATTTTCACGTACGTAGCGCATCAGATGTTCAGCAGTATTGTTTCCAGTAATGCACACAAATGCACTTAGAGAACATTCTGTAATTGTAATTCACCTGTGCTTCCTGGAGTGACATTTTCAGAGGAAGTAAGATTTCTGTACTGTATCTTTCCCAGTCAGTGGGTAGGTGCAGTTCCCTTGGTGTATCAAAAAGTGAGAGGGTGGAATTATTGCTTTATGCCTTATAGTTGAAAATCCCTTGAGATAATGACTAAATTTGCAGGGGAGAAACCATACACTAGGCTAAATAAAGGCAGAATCTGTACAGACAGCTCTTTTGGGCAAACTTGAAGATAACCATTAGATCTCTGGTGATGTAATACATCTAGAGACTTCCAAAAAAAGGTTTTAAGCTATTTTGGGGGGGTCGGGAGGGGGAAAGAGGCTTAACCAAGGAAGGTGTAATGTCCCCACTTATTTACCTGGTTATACGAAGACGATGAGATAAGAATGGTTGAGTCCTTGAGGACTGAGCTTTTTAGGAGAAATCAGGAAAGTAATTGTTTTTTGTAGGAGTTATATCTTTGTGGATTACAGAAGTGTTACCTTGCTTTGCCTATCTTGCTTTTGAAATGTAAGTTCCATCAAGTGCCTTTCTAGCTTAACTTCTGTAAGGAGACTGGAAAGAAAAGGAAATATAAAGTTGAGTTGATTGGAACATTTTTGACTGAATCAAACGTGCTTTTTCCCTGTCAGGCAATGGAGTTTCATCAGGAAGAGGAGTAGAGCAAAACCAGGACACTGTGTGTTGTCATTGTCAACAGCAAAAGGGCTAAGGACTGGTCTCGGGATACAGTGCTGTAACACAATGTGATCTTTGTGTCTTTGTACGTGTGCAACATTAAAAATAATTTCTTTCCTAATGCAAAATTAATCTCGGAACCTCTGAAGTTGATGGGAAAGTCATTGCTTTTTGAATAGCTACAGGAAGAGGAGAAAGATAAGCTTAACATAGACCTGGTTAAGCAAACCTGGATCTGGTTTGTCCCTTTCTTGTTTTGTTGCTGTATATTTATGGTTATGTTGTCCTATGGCAGTGGTATAAAAGAAAGTGCAAGGAAGTTGATGCCCTGCACGTGGACAATCTGAAGCCTCATTTCTGCAAAATATGTCTGTCTTTGTCTCTCTGTTATATCCATGGTTACTCCTACCCACCTTCATCTTTGCATCTCCCCTTCCTGTTCCTTAAGTGTTATGACTGACTCTCAGCTGTAGCAATGCTGCTGGCCTAGTCTGGAGTCCAAACTGAATAGAAAACTGTGGAACAAATATTCCATCCTTTTCTGTGCTCAGCTGTTTATTCTAGCACAATTTGTAGGCAATTTGCTTCCTTGAGATCAAACAAACACCTTAGTCAACTTTGCCAAGGTTGGCTGGAACTGAACAAAGATTTCAAAACTGGAAAAGGTGAATGAGTAGCACAATTTTATGAAGGTTTGTTATTTCCATATTAGATCAGACTGTAAAGCTAATAAAGCTGTGACTAGGTGCTTAAAGTAAAACTTGAGATAAATGATAGCATACCAAGCAATTTATAGCCACTGTAGGGGAATATGCAGGGTTTTTGTTTTGGTTTGGTTTTTTCCTCCTTAATCTATTCCTGGAGAGGTAGAATATCTTTTAAATATTAGTGGGTGGATATAATGAAGTGTTATTTCTAGTACTGTAGTCAGGGAGAAGGTAGAGACTTTGTTATCCAAGTGGAAGATAACCTGGAATATGTTGGTGTTTGCCTTTGTTGCAAAAATGCTTATTTAATGAATTAGAAAAGTATCTAGTGAAAATTTTTTAAAATTTAGGTGTAGGGGGTGGATAACTGGAAGTGATAAAATGTTTGTTGTGTGTGTGATGTGAACATACCAGTTTGCACAATGCTCTCTCTCTTTGGGGTGATATCTAGTGGTTTTTGAGGATATTCATGATTTGAAGTAGCTTGAACAGACTGAGTGATCCACAAGTGTCTAAATTGTGTTTCTTTAATGTTCTGTTGACTCTCTTAGTTTTTTAATATGTTATGTATGATGTGCAGAAGCTAATATAATGAGGTTAATGATAAGATTATGGAGAGCAGAATGTCCTAAACATAGAGTTTAGAAGTCATGCAACTTCCAGCATGGAAAGCTTGCTCAGGGCTTTGGGGTGAAAAGGCTTTGTCCTTGTCTGCTTGAGTTGAAATAGGGGGAAAAAAAATACCTCAACCCGATCCCCAATGCACACAACTTCACATCTGTGTTCTGGGGATACATGTGTCAGTTCTGATGTACTGCAAGCCACAGGATATTATTCATGTACCGCAGTACATGTAGAGCAGAAAATTTAAAGCCTCTAACATAATGTAGTGTGCCACAGGAAGGGAGTGGTGACCAAAGGTTTAATCAACCCTTTGGGCCTCTGCTGTAACAGAGAGCTTGTGAGATAGAAGTGGGCAATGCCCACCCCACCTGGAGGCCCAAGGTCCCTCTGCCTGCTTTCCGTGCAGACCCCGAGCTGGTGGGAAGGTGTAACCAGCACAAGGCTCCGTGTTTTCTAAGTGTTCCCAGTGCACTGCCGTGTCCAGCACCCTGCTGGTATCCCTGGTGCTGGGGTCGTGGAAAAAGGCTGGGGACAGAGAAGCCTTTCTTAATTCTTCCAGTCCATTAATAGAAGTCCAGAAACATGGAATTAATTAGCTAAAAAGTATTCCAAACCAGATCAAATACACAGCAACGAAACTTATTTTCAGGTGCTGCAAGGAGTATTAGCAAATCAAACGCTTAAAGCGCTGTTAAGTGAGCTCACCTTTTTGGCCCCAGATTCACCCCAAGCTGTCAATGTATTTCAGCTTCACTGTGATGTATTTTCGTGGTTTTGTCTCCAAGACACTGTTTGCAAGAAGTAAATATGGGATTTAAATGGTTGTAACTCTCTGTGTAGTTTCTTGTCTGAATTTATTTGTAGTCAATTTATACTCATTTGATCTTTTTCTAGTTAAAGCTGATGTTTAAATCTCAAGGAAGGAGAAAAATTGTATGTATCTAGAGAGTTACCAAAAACATTTTAACCTTTGCTTTGTAG